TTGAGCACCGCTGTGGGAAGTACTCATTGAATCGCATACGATGCACCAGTTAACTCACATCCCCCTTCGTCCCCAGGCCTGACTCTAGAGACGGGCACTCGTCCCCGCGAGAACATAAAAGTCCTCACTTCAATCCACCACTCCATCGGCCTGCTACATGTCTTCCGTGTGTTGACCGATAACGCAATGGATACGTGCGGAGCGAGGAGGTCGGTATGGTTCGTAACTGCGAGGAACCGAGCATGTTGCACCTCCAGGCTACGAGGTCGGGTCCTGGAGCCCTGCTTCATACACACAGCAATCCGACCACGCATATATTTGGGTAGAAACGGGACACGGTGAGTGCTAGTCCGTACACGAATCACGTAGAGCCGCCGGGAATTCTGAGTGGAGGCTAGGAACCCGAGACAGATCGTGCGTACGACACGACCCAGTCTGCGTGAAGACGGGAGATCTGTGTCACGATCGCTGTGGATGAGCACGCCAGCAATGTGAAGCTGATTGGATGAACCTTACAGTTGGACACAGCCGCCGTTTATTTCTCCTGCGCGTTCGCGGGTATATGGGGTTTCGCAGCGAAGAAGTGGGGAAATGCGGGCGAGAGGTGAGCGTGAACGAACACGACATAGCATCGTACCTACATGCGGTAAACGGCTGTTGCATGATCGCCGTCCAGTAGGGCACTGATCTGCGTCGAGCTCTGAAGCGGGTCTATGACAGGTGAGTCCTGACCCAGCAGAACTTCTGACGCGCTAGAATTCAGATGGGATACGGCGGGATTTGATTGCAATGAATGAACATACAGTATTCGGTAGAAGATAGGCGGGTCGGCGATAAGCACGGTTGATCTCGAGCCGTGCGTGTCGGACCACAGAACTGTATCTAGGTTGAAGCATCGAGGCGGAAAGGCGGTAGTTCTTCAACATCGGGTAAGCTACTAGACACCGTGGAAAGCTAACAGGACATACCTCGCATGCAGCCACGACCAGCTGTATGTATGGATTGACGGTAAGCCAAGGTTCGAGAGCACGAACGAGTCCGTCCATCCGTCCCGCTCATCCGTCCCGCTCGCCCACGCGCAAAGTGCTACTGTACCGTGTCGGTATGTGGCACTTAGTTGGAAGTTTGACCCGACCTGCAGGAGACGACTCGGGGCTCTGACTAGCAACGAAGATTCTGATGCAGCGAGTAACTTACCAAGGAGCGAAAAAAACTTTGTTATAGAGTGTCGGCTGGTGTACGAGCACACAGAAGAGAGGTGGAAGGGTCGCTGCAACAACCCGGGAGGAACGAGTGAGGCAATCGGGATAATCCGTGGTCTCCGAGGGACTGAATCCGAGATCAGCTTCGTAGACACAGAAGAACAATTTGACCACACAGATACAGAGGACCGCAGGCTATGCGCCACGATGCACAGAGCTGCGGCTCCCGCAGTCGTCCTGAATATGACCCAGTGTCCAAGACCTCGTTGCAGGAGCATCGCGGTGGCCAAACGTGCGAGCTGAACGTACGCACGTTCGTCATGAGCCAGGAAGGTAACCCGCCAATAGCCCCGAAGAATACTAGGACAACGAACACTCGTGTTACGCACCTCGCATACAGCCATAGACACGTCCGCCGACTCAACACAAACTGGGTCTCGCGTCGTCGGCACGCGTTCAAGGAGTCACTACGCGCAGTCCACTGAAACAGTAAATAAATGAGAGACTGTGTAACGTACGAGCAAAAACTTCATGACTGGGCACACTACTCACTGGGCAAGATATCCCGCGACCCACTCCGTCGCGGCGTCGTAGTCTCATAGGTCGGTTTTGGCGAGAGTGGACGGAGATCACGGTGCCTTGTAACCTCATAGATACGAGGCACAGCATGCATGGGCTGCAATGCCCTCGCAGACTCGGAGCTGGAAGGAGGGACGATTGCAAAGAATCACCGCGGACGTCGCTACCACATATACCTAGTATACACACCTCATAGGTAGCCTTTGTGATGCCCGCCTTTCAATCCACCTTGCGATACTTCTCCGCGTATTTGAGGCCAGTATCAGTGAGAGTTGCTTGAAGGTCGTCGAGAGACCTACCCAACACTGAGGACATTCAGTTGAGCAGCGCTGAGCGGACGCGCTTGCGGGGTGCGGTCTTGGACGTCCTAATATCTTCTGCGCCTACGCGCTAGCTGGGTAGCTTAGATCCACGACTCGTGTCCGACATACACGAACTGTCCACTGATGAGGGCAGATGGCACGATGAGGCACTGCGCGGTGGTAGGGAGAGGCGCGTACATACCCGACGTTAAAGCTAAAGGTCGACTGCGCCCGACCGTCCTCTTCAATTCCAGGTGTGCGATCATGACAGCGTGTCGACGTAGCCTCAGAAGCCAGAGCGTAGTTGACTCCGAACGAATGTTGTGAGCGACGGGCGTGCCAGTGTGAGGGTGTTGGTCTGAGTTGATGCGCCGCGTCGCGTCTCGGTCACTCGCGTCCAGGTCGCTCTCCGGCGCTTCCGTTCTCTCTTGTCGTTCATCGGCCACCGCATACTGCGCTATTCAGTCGCCGTTTGGTATTGTGCGCCTCTATGTAGCTCGCCGCACTGGAAGCTCCGGCAATGCATCCGATTCCTCCACTGGTCCGACCTTCGATCCTGCCCTTCAAGATCAACATCGAGGCTCAGGATCAACATACGCTACCCTCGGTAGTGACCAGTATCCAGAACACTGACCGCGACACCACTGAATCATAATGGCTGCGTCTGCGAGCTAAGTACCACACGCTCAACGTCGTCGGCCTGGCGCGTGGTCGCCAAGCTGGAGGGCACTACGCGTTATGCACGTCACGTAGTTGTCACCCATCTCTCCCCACCCTGCTGCCCTATACGCGCTTCCCGCCGGTACGTACTCAATTGTACTGGCAGCTACTCTCAACAGTGTCACGCGGACTTGCCGGGGGTGCCGAGCGGTTGAAGCTGCACGAACGCGTCGAACACGAAGGTCATCTTCTCGTACAAGTCAACCGTGGAGGGTCAGCGGGGTATTTCTGTGAAGGAGCAAAGCGCGTTTTGCAGTGTACGTCACTCGAGGTACAGACTGTATATACAGTTGATTTGACTTGAACGTACAGTCTGTTCCGGCCATCACGCGCACCGTGGTTGATTTATTGCATAGGCATACCGCATAATGTATCCATCGCTCAGCTCGCGCATATATGCACGCGATACCGATCATGCGATGTCGCGATCCAACATCATACTGTGCGCGTTTGTCATTCTTTTGCTAGAGAGGCAGATGCTGATGATTTCGAAGGGGCGGTCTGGCGAGAAGCGAGCTCAGGCGTCTCCTGACTCACTAACCTCTGGTGTATGCTGTTCGTCGTTTGCGGTGGCGTCGCCACGTCTTTACAGGGCTAACAGCATGGCATCCGTTCCATTGCCCCATCCAGGCTCGGTTCAACAGCCGCCCAGCCATCCCACGTTTCCCCCGACTGCGTGCCGTGGCCCTCGCAAATCTCAGTATCTGCGAAATCGATGTACCAATACAAATTCGCACCGGTTCACTCTGCAAACAATACCGCAATGGCAGCAATCATCGCTACAGAACGAACAAAATGGTGCACTGTCCGAATGGTTCTGCCGTTCATGCTTGTCCCGCATCGACGTCCGTAAATGATGTTACGCTGGTATCATCTGCCTAGCATCAACCGATCGCACTGTCGTTTTCTCGACTGGACGTACATGTCAATCACGGCCTCTTCTCGTTCAAGAGCCATTCTAATCACTCGAGCGACTAACGAACACGGCGGAGGTGCGCCATGACGCGTGACGGCCCGCATATAGACCCGTCACTTGCAGTCTCAAGTCCGGCAACGTGGTGATCGGAGGGACGTGTTAACTCTGGCGTAGCGCGAGATGTTGTCTTCCATCGGCGAGCGAGCGGCGGAGGTCAGCGCGGGCTTGGTTTCGGAACGGACGAAGCTCGTGGACGACGCGCAGGGGTCCAGTCCAGAGGGGAGAGGAGTTAGGGCGGACCGATCAGCGACGTGAGTGCTACGCATGCTCTCGATTACTGGATCACTCCTTCCTCAGTACTCTTCATGTGTAACATCTGTTGGGGAACTTGACGCACGTACACCCTATTGTCAATGACATGATGCGATGTTCGTTCACCGATCAAGTTCGTGTTGTCCGTATCCAAGTCCGCGATTATTCGAGGAACAGTATTGTTCCTGATTCGTACCCATCCATGTCGACGTGTCCTAGTCTGGAGGTAGCGAAAAGGTGCCCCGCCGTCAGTGACTACGAGACCATACTTACGCTTGTATCGCTATAGTCGTCATCTTGTCTGCACACACGATGCGGAAGCTGAGAGTGATTCTGAGTCATGTATGCGGCCACGTAACTCGAGTTGATCACTGCCCCAGCGCAGATGACTGCGCTTCGAAAGTATCGATTGTCCCGCTAAGTACCATCATGCGAGAGCGCTGCGTGTATTCTTAGGTGAAATGGTACTACGTGTACATGTGGTGCATGGGTACTAGTACTATCGAGATGAATAATTCCGGAGACATCGGCAAGAAGTCTGCTGACTGCGACGACAGAGGACCCGAAGTCGAGAGAAAACCGCGCACTGCATACAGCCGTTTCGTCAAACGCGAGGCGCAAGGACGAGACATGGTCACGCGTGGGATCGAGACTGGTACGAGCAGCAACTACTAGTAGACAACAAAGAAAGACAAAGATGAACATGATCGACCGAGTGGATCGGTGTTTGTAGCGTGGACTCCGGTGCCTATCGTCTGAACAGAGCTCTGGGAGCGAAATCGGCCGGAATGGGCGTAGGCTCGGAAACGAGAAATTGATGACTGCGTTCGAACGTCGTCGATGCTCTAGGATCCCCTGCTTTTCCTCATTTATAGTTCGCAGGATCGACGCTATAGAGCCAAGCGTGCAGCGACTCGCTCAACTCGTCCTCCGGCACTTTCTATCTCATGCACTGGGTTCTCCTGGGTCCTAGATACGCGATCCATCAGGAAGTTCCAGCGCAATGACTCCACGAGCCAGCCAAGGACTAAAGAGGGGAACGAGGAAGGACTTGACGGTAGCCGACGTGCATAGTGTTTCTGCAACGCAGTTTGAAGCGTGTTCTTGGTTCGAGCCCATGCTGACGCGGAAGAGGATGGTGACAGCCGCATAGGACAACCTTGCAAATACGTTACGGGAGAGAGCGGCATGAAACGCTGCAATGGCCTCCGCCGTGATCGCGCATGCGGAACCGTCTGTACCGTGGAAGGTTAGGAAGGAAACGTGTGCGCTTTGCAAATGCGTGCTCCCAAGTTGCGTGAACAGGCTCAGGAGAGTTCCGTAGACCCAAGGCATGTTCAGCGACGAGGGAGAAGTAAAGTCTATGGTCAGAACTGCCAGACTGGCGTTATATGACAGCGAAGGTGGAAGACGGCCTGGAACATGCTGTACGAGAACGTCCGAGTCAGTATGCGACGCGACTGGCACGCGCACAGCGACTCACATGGGGAAGGAAAGCATCAATCCAACCAGGGTGACTCCATTCGAACTCCCCCAATGCCGGCCCGGAATCTCGTAGAATTTGGCTGATGGTCTGAACCATTGCGGATGAGGGCGGTTCCAGGAGATCGATGTGCAGCTCTTCGAGCTTGCGACACTGCTGTGCAAATAGCTCGAAGAACATAGTGGCAAAAGCTGAGGATACTTGCCACAGGTGGACGGAGGCCCATGAATTACCAGCATTCACGCCTGTCGCCAGCGCGACCGTTTCAGCCGGGGTCATCGGAGACCCCAAGTCTTCTGGCAACAGGTCACCATCTATACGCATGTTGCGAAGGGCCGGGAACACATAGACAAAAGAATGGAATTCCGAAGCGGAGAGGAAACCAGTATACCGGAGGAAGATGGTGTCCACAGTTGTGTACGACGAGAGAACATCGAGCAGACTCGAAGTGAGGTGCTGCCCGTCACACATCCCCAGGGGACATTCACAACCATCGTAGTCCCGGAGGTGTATCTCACGGAGCTTCTGGTTGACAGCAATAGGGGAGCGAGGCGGCGATGTGCTATCCAGGGCTACAGACTCGACGGCAATTGAGCGAAGACGGAGGACTTCCAGACCAGGTAGAGCACGGGTGATCATCCAGATTTCGTCGGCACGGCGTAATCAACATCGCCTGAGTGACAAGCAAGTGACGGACGAGAAATAGGAGAGATGAGTGAAGAAGGATAGGTGAGGCCGTGCGCTTGTCCAATTGAGCTGCGAGAATTTGAGGCTCTCCAACTGGGACAGTAGACGTCCAGGCACCCGCATTGGAAATGTATGCGCAAACGGCTTGTCCGGATGGTCCTCGATGCGCAGGGAATCAAGCGCACGTCCATAGCATTTGTTGTGCTTGGACATTAGTATCTCTACGAGATCACCCAAATCCCTGCTACTTCGGATGGTATACCGGCGAAGGTGATGCCTCGCGCTGCAATACCAAGCTCGGCATACGAGGCAGCACCTGGCGAGCTGTACAGGTTCGTCCCACAGGAAATCGATGATAAGGTCTATGAGTTCTTGCGTGAGGATTGGAAATGCGTCGCTACTGACACAATCAGCGAACTAGATGAAGATAGCTACGAGAATACGGCACCTCGTATGGATGGGCGGTTTGTAGCGAATCTCACGCCAAAAGGATTTCACCATCATCTCATAGACAGCGTTCATATCCCCGCAACTCGTACCCGAGTCACGACGCTCGTGTTTCGAGGTCCTAGACGCAGGCAAGAGTCAATCAACACAGATTCGTACATGGATGCTTCCGGAGCATCATACATACATTCAACCGATCGGTAGGGTCAGGTGTTTGAGAGGAGCTAGGCTGAAGCGGGACGAGCGACAGCGTCAGATGTCGATAGTGAGGATACGGGGATCCCGAGAGAGCAAGAGCAGCAGCTCTTTCCCTCCACGTGAGATAGAGCATCGCCGCAATGCGATGAGGGCGTGGCGCCCTCGCACGCGTACACCGTGTACTGGGCGCTACCACACGAGCAAACATTAACGGTGCCAGTGGCAGTATAACGGTGGCAGTACGCGGTATAGCATTTGGCCAGATCTGTATTGGACAGGGCGGGACTGGGCTCGAGGCGACGATGTTGATGTTGCGCATCTAGGCCTCGCGCGCGAGTTGAATTCGTTTTGTAGACATGCAGTATGCACCGAGGCAGCAGCATTCCAGCTATTGAAGATTGCGACGCGTGAAGGAGACAGAGAATAGGGGTCCCAGAACTCAAGATGCCAACTGTCAGCGCACCGCCACAGCGACATCCTACTAATTGGTACATGCAGATGAAACGGCACCACAGGAGTTAGCAATAGCTCTGCACAATACAAGCAGACAGCCAGACGTACATTAAGCCGCTCTCCCCGAAGACCTATCCCATTCAGCACACCAGCGCGCACAACCTGCACCCCCGGAAAGATCATACGGCCCACTGGCGGCTATTGACAGCCTGAGCCGTAGAGAACCTTCACGACGTTCATGCCTTTAAGATAGTAGTCAGACGCGTAGAGTCTGAACCATACTGGCGGTCTACATAAGTGTAACGGAACGCCAACGGGCGAAGCTTTCGGTCGAACACGTTAAGCATCAAATCGCGCAGCATGAGGATGTCATTGAATGGAAGGATGCTATCGTAGGTGAGGTTATGAAGCGTCATGCGCGCTCACAGAGATCTCTCGTCCATTTGGCCGTACGGAGCGCCGCATTGGGTCTCGAGTCAACGGCTTGCGCATATCTGACAACGTCAATTAGCCCAGCACTATACGCGCACCAGCAAAGCCGAACACGCACCAAAGGCATCCTCCTCGTCCCTCGAGTTCCGCCCCAGCCCCAGACTCCCATAATACTCCCGCACCCTCCGGTACACGCTGTACCCCAGCCCCTCATACATGCCTATCGCGACGTCGTTCGTGCACCGGACGTAGAGGTCCACGAAGAACCCGCGGTAGTTCTTGTCCGAGACGCGGTCGAGGTAGTCGATCATTTTGCGGGCGAGCGAGAGCCGGCGGTATTCGGGCGCGACAGTGAGGGCAGTGATGTGTCCGTGCCATTCTGTGTCTTGGCCTTCAGCCTTTCCCAGAACTAGTGCAGGGCGTAGTATGTCAGTACCTCTATCGGAAAGGACGAAGAATGAACGTACTGTAGCCCATCATACGCCCGTTCGGAGACTCTTCTGAAGAGCACAAGTCCGGCCAACGCGACAGGTACTGTAAGTAGAAGTTGATGCCATACTAGAAACAAACCCATTCAGAAGAGGTTTTCGTTCGGATAGCGAGTCGAATCACGGTCTCCGTCCACAAATCGAGGTTGCTGAAGATGGTCAACGTACGACCTGTAATGAAGCGCGCACTCTCACATGTGGTTGAATTTAGAAAAAATACGTTGCTTTGAAAGGTCTTGTGACGCTCATGTTGAGAAAAGGTGCGTGGCGATACGGTTGGTAATGATCTGGTCAAGACTGGTCCCAGTCGAAACAGGGTCGACGAGGAGGTCGACGAGCAGGAGGAGCCCGATGAATCGATCGTCGGCAGTCTCCGGAATATAGCGCCCGCTGTAGTTCGAGTTCCCCACACCTTACACATCGCAAGACTCAGTGCAGGACACACCTAGCAGCCATCCTGCGCGGCCACTCCTTTAACAACTTCTCCTGAACCGTCGCTACCACATCCGATCTGACTGCTAGACACAGACTTCGTCCGTACCCATCCCAATTTGGCAACTGATGTCACTGTACGCCGTTCTATACATAGACTCCGACGGTTCTTCTGTAACTCGCTTCGTGTCAGACGCGCGGCCAGTACTTAAAGCTTACAGCGCGATCCTGGCTTGATACACACTCTCTTGATCCTGTACTCCCACCATCTCTCCCATGTGGCCGATTGATTCTCCCAGTCGTATGCTTCGCGGAGGCTTCAAGTTCGAGTCGCTGCAAGGGATCATGGTACAACACTACGAGCGAACTTTCAGCTCCCTCGACGTTGGTACATCGTGCTGGCTTTTTTCTCGCAGTGTTACGTACGCACCTCTATCTTTCTAGTCCTGGCGAGCATCATTTCTCATGGGCATGCCCCATATCCTGCGCATTGGGCATGCCGGAGTCGACGCGCTTTCCACGTGACCGCGAGGACGTGCAAACTCGCGCGAACTCGAGCGTCCGCGTCGGGTGCCGACACTGCGGCATAGTGTTATTCTCGTCGTGCTCCTCGATGTCACCAGCAGCGGCGCGACGCCCCATGTCAACGAGGAAGCCAACCATCGCAGGTGCGTGGCAGCATCTTGACAGCAACGACGAGGCTGACGTCAAGCGCCTCAACGCACTCCACAGGCCGTGTGGTCGACGGGTTATAGGCGAGGAGGGACCCTACAGTACAAGCCCCAATCCTTTCTCGATCGTTCCTGCCCTTGTTCACGACCTGTAACGACTACTCGACGCTATACCCCGCAACCCTCGCCATGGCCGACCGAGCGAGCTCGCAGGCGTCCACCACACCTACTGCCGTCGACGACCACGGGCGTGGCCATGCACCCGACCACCAAGACTCGCAGAATGTCTCCGTGAAGCAGTCATCGGTTAGGAAGGAGTGACCTACTGTTGCAGTAACACATCCAAACTCGAACGACACATACGAACCCATCCTCTTCTATGACGAGCCACCTCCACTCAACTATACCATCAAGGCTGGCAGCCGCAAGCGTGCCATCATCATCTGGTTCACGCTTCTTTTTGTCGAGTCCGGCATTCTTCCCCTCATTCTCTTTTACTCGCTCTCCTGGGGCGCGCATCTGAGCACCACGAAGAACCTTGCGATCATCACGAGCTTGATTGGCACCGTCTCCGGTTTCAAGTTTGCCCAGCGGATGTGGTACTTGTGGTTCATCCGTGACCACGTCAGTAGGAGACCGATCGGTGTTGGACGCTGGGGCGTCGACTTCTTCCAGTGCGTAGCGATCACATATTCGCGCTACTAACCCTCCTGACCTCGACGCGCAGATACATTCTGAGCCTCGCCATGGCAGCGTTCTTCATCCCGCTTATCATCGGTTCCTCGGTGTACGTTCCCATTTCTCTGTTCGGCGCCGTTGTACCGATCTTCACATGCAGAAATCCGGGGAGTCCGCGAATTACCGCGATGGCTCTGCCATGCGTCATGCTCGTCCTAACGCTACCGCTCCTCATCACCGGTATCTTCCCCTACCGTGTTCACGTACCGTGGCGTGTCTCCTCCTTCCCGCCGCGTCAGCCTCTCCCTCCCCTCGGATATTGCTATGTCGAGGACATTGTCGCTGTCGACGGGGGCGGCTGCACACAGTTCCGACAGGTGAGTTGGTAGTGTTCCCGCCGTCTGCTCCCACTAACTACCGCATCAGGCCTGGTGTACCCGCTACGAGGAATCACAGGTCATTCGGCACATGGTCCGCCAGCTCTCCGTTCTTTGGGGAGTCTCGGGCCTGATCGTCGCCGCCGGCGTGCTCGCGGCGTGCTGGACTGCCAGCGTCGACACGGGCTACGGGATTGGCTACGGGATCCCGTGGCTCTGGGCGCTCCTCATGAGTGAGTGTTGTGCTTCGTGTTTTCCGACGTATACCATGACTTACCTCGTTGAGCCTCGGCGTCCGAGTCTCTGCTCGTTGTTCGGTTCGACTCGGAGGTCGCGGGAGTGCTTCATGTTGAGGAAGGAGGTACGTTCCTCAGGGTCAGCACGACATCGCCTTGGGCGAGCATAGCCGGTGCCTGGACAGGACTCGGAGCATTCCTCCAACTCTTCGAGCAATCTGTGATGACGAGTTGCATCGCGGAATTGTGGTGCGCCTTGCAGAGTGTATTGGTGCGGGCCAGGGCTTTTAACTCGTGCTCGTGCGACTCTCCCGGGCCCTACCAAGTTAGCCGGTACGCAGTCAATCAGAGCAATTGTCGAAGCGAGCTCCGAGAGACCAGGGAATGGGGCGCAGAACGAGAGGTATGCGAAGACGCGGCGATGTTGTTGCAAACACCGTCAGCAAAGCAGCGGACGCGTCGGTCGCCGCAGGCCCATCTCCGTCATTGCCGGTGTCGGCTTGGCAGCATACAAAGTGGTGGCTGTCCTAGTCCTGGTAT